TCCCAGACAGAAACTAACTAACTCTCTTCCAGCCCTGCCCCCCAGCCAGGGGCGGCATTCCACCTTCCTTTGTTTCTCTCCCTGGGGGGTAGCTGGTCAGGCAGGTTTGGAGCCCCCTTTGCATAATGACTCACCCTCTGCCCTGCTGGGCCGTGCTACAGACAGCAGAGGTCACCCACAGCCCACTGCCCAGCATAGCAGCCAGCAAGTTACCCCCACTACGTCACACTCCACACATCCAAATCCTTTGCCCCCTTCTTGCACCCACATCCCCTCCCAGATCTGGCACTCCAATCTCCTGCCTGAGATCACAATCTCCGCCTACCCTAGGTCACATCCCAAAACCCTGCTCCCCAGTCCCCTGTCCTAAGTCACAACTGCCTCTTTCACCCCCTTACTCCAAGCTCCCTTCTGCATCCAACCCCCATCCCAGAGCCTGCACCTCCTCCATTAATACCATGGAAGAGTGCGGCCCTCAACCACTTTCCAAAATCTTGGAGTGCTTCCCCCCACATCAGAAGTTATTTCCCACCCTGCCCAGTGATTGTACACCGGCATATTTAAACCAGACTGCTCCTACGTCAGACCCATGGCTTCGTTAGAACCACAGACAGTCCTCAGAAAAACACTGTTCATATTTGGAGATATTTTTAGAAGGGACATATTTATAAAAAGGGGTCTTCTCTACAAGGGGAAGGAACAGTATCTCCGCAACATTCCTCTCAGTGGACCAAGGGGAATCCTCAGAAACATTTCCCTGTTACGCTGGAGGGATGGGGGTGGGGGGTGTTTCTGCCAGAGAATCAAAGTACCCTATTCTGTCATTCCAATATTATGCTCTTCCAAAGATGTGAATGGAAGGTCTTCACATGTGCAAAGAGTATCAGAACTCCAGTTCACTGGGTGGGGCTGAAAGGAGGAAAGAGCCAAATAGGACAGAATTACTTTCTGGATTCAAAGACTATGCTTTCAGTGCTATGTTTAATAACCTTTCCAGATGTACAGTACATATGTTCAGATGGGAAGAGTTCCTTTAATGTATGATTCATGTAACAGGTATAAATGTACTCTGATAAATTAGACTACTCAAAAACACAGTTAAACTGGATTGTGGGAGGAGTGTGTGAAATTCACATGTCAGAAAATAGTTCCTTTGAGCTTTTCTGACCATTGTTTTAGAACGATCACTGGTCTTATTACTCGAGGGAATTTTCCTTTGAAATCAGTTATTCATTTCTGAGCTCTGACAACAGGGAAATAAGATAATCTCATCCCGATGTCATATTTCATTTGACAAAGAAAAAAGGGGTGCAAATGACACAGGATGTGGTGAAAGCAGCGTAAATGGAAATATATGCATGTATCCAAGTAGTGAGCATGAGTGTGTGTGCGCATATACGTCCAAACCTAGACATCTGAACTTTATGGTGACAAATATTTGAATAATCATTCTTATTATGTTGTGTGAAATTGGAGCCCTATATTCTCAAATTTGCTTCTCATTTCTGACCTTATTCTGGACTGTAAGCATGCTTTGTTGTCTGCTGCTCTGTTTTGTAAAGGAGATACA